TTAAATACTTATTCTGATATAAATTGTTACCATGGTATAAATACTTACGTTGTGATACTAGATGAGAAATGATGGAGTTATGCTAGTATTATAATCCGTATTATCCGTCGAACATACGTATCAGGATGCAAAGTGTCTCTGAGCTAGAAAATGACAGACCTATTATATATATATGCGACGCAAAGAGACCTTGATTGGGAGCTACGTAATACTGGTTGTTGACTTCACAAGTACAAGTATTTTGAAACAAGATATTTTTTGCATTGTTTACTGTTCTCTTTTGAATGCAAGAGCATGCGTGACTGAGCCCTGAACATTTTACCCAAATCAAGGAAACAAATATCGACTGGAGTGGAGTTTCAAAGCCGTTCTGTTATTTTAATTCATACTTTCAGCCAATTGCAGAAGGAATTCCTTTATACTAAAGCTGCCATCCGTTCCTCACTTCATCATCATTACGTCTTCATTATATTTACATACAGGTTGCTGTTCGTTGGTTCTTTATCAGGCGTCCTACTAACTGTTAAGCGAATGTAACTCACACATGTACAGACCGAAAGTTGCGGTCGAGATGTTGGCATCCCCGCCTCGTGTTCGGTAACTGGCTACCCTGACTGAACTTGTGGTTGTGCTCAGGCCTACCAAGCAAATTCCGGGATATTATCTTAAATTAAGCCGCAATCTCTTCAGTTCGAAACTTTTTTTATTCCTTTTTCACTAATTAGCCTATTGCTTGAAGCTATTTGATCTGCTCTATTGATAGCGTTATTAAACAAGACACAAACTGATAAAGTAAAATAAATTGTCGACTCCACAACCTTTCCTTAATACAGGGAAGTTAAGATTAAAGAAACTGTTCTTGGAAATCTAACCGCCGTTTCCTTCAAGCTTTCCGTCTACACGCCCGGCTGGTTAGAGGGGGGCTCTTTTGAGTTGCTTTTGTGGTAACTCAGATGCATGGGACCCTTGCCTTCAAGGAATTTGCGTGGTGGCGAAGAAGGGTTCCAGGAGCAAGGTGCGAGGCGGTGGAGTGCGAGGGGATGTAGTTCCATAATTAACTGTACATTGGTTCACCTTGAGTTATTATTTTCTTCTTTTTCCTCTTCTTTTTCTCGCCTAGTGCAGGACTGTCCGCGGTCGAGACTGACGCGTTAGGCCCGTTTCACACATACACGGCGACCGTCCAAACGGCTCCGTTTACACGGTTATAGGTCGAAGATTATACGAGAGCTTTCACACGCACCGGTGCCGTCTATACGGTAACGGTCTACCGTGAAGTCGCCGTGTCTTCCCACTACAAAACCCGGCGCCGTGACCGTTCTAACGGCGCACCACTTGGTAGTCGGGTGAACAGTTGAATGGCTTCCTTCACACGTGCCGTGTGTAATGCCCGGTTCCGTGACTTAAGTACCAACCTTGTGAAGTAATAATCAGTGAATGTGAATTTATTAAACTTTCTACAATGAAATGAATTTGATTGTCAATGTATCCTCTGCCTCGTAGCCGTCTCTCTCCCGAACAAAGTTGTATAAATCAACACAAGCCTTGACAATGTCTACAGCAAAATCAGGTTGCAAGTTTATAGGTCGATGAAAGATCCTCCATTTATTACTTAATATTCCAAACGAGCATTCTATGTACCTTCGGGCTCTAGAGAGACGATAACTGAGAACTTTTTGTTTTACTGTCAAGTTATGTTGGCAACAAACAACAGAATAACCGGCTCCGGGTATGATCGGTTGTGTGTGAAGTTTTCACCGTTCCGTGTAAACGGTGCCGTTTGGACGGTCGCCGTATATGTGTGAAACAAGCCTTAAGTGTCCCCTGGAAGCCGCCTTGCCGGACACACGAAGCGTTCAGCAAGACTCTCCCCAAGACTTTGAATTTGAAGAGAGAGTTCTCATTGGCTGATTGGTTCATCACCCGAACCTTACAAATTTGCCGCAGAAAGCTCACTTTTAAACTCATTGGCGGTTAATGACGTGATCTGTCCTAGTTCGGCTATCGGCTAAAACACATCTGGAAGAGCTTACCCATCCCACCAAGTCGAGCCACCGATCATAAAATCAGCTTTTCATCCAATCACGTAGATGGACGCCAGGCAGTCGCCTGATGGAGAAAACAAGTCCCTCAAGATGTGGCCCGAACTAGATATATCAACAATCAAATCGGGAAATTTTAACACAGTTTATTCGATTAAGAAAGGTGCTACCGAAACAAAACTAACTCAGGCCCCTTTCCTTGCGTATAAACTGGAGTAATCGCCAAAAGTCCAGTCTATGTCTATCGCAGGTCCGCCTGATCGAAAATCGAACTCAGTGCGGGCTGTCACAAATAAATGCCTTCTCGGATGTTGCGCCGTGTGTCTGATAGATATTGATAAATGTTTCAAAGGAGTTTATTGTCCCCGTCATCAGGGCGACTTCGTTTTGCTTGCAGTTATAAAATATGACGACCGAGACACTCTATAAGCCCAGGCCTCTCCCCCTACATCTTTAAAATTCTTATGATTCTTAAAAATTTTGAATTATCTGATAGTATCAGTTTCAAAAGCAAGCTGGATTTCGTGAACATTCGAACAATTTTTTGTTAGTGTTAGGCATATGTACTCGGTTTCAGGGCGCAGAACCATGGCTCTGTAAACGTTGATTGGATTCAGAAGTTTCTTTCCTCTTACCGTGACACTATTTGACTAATGAAACAGGAATCTTTGCCCTAGAGCCTGTAACGAGCTTGCTTTACGCTGTTATATCTTCCGTATTTTTTCTGGCATTGTAAGAGTTCCCCATTGTCGTCAAATATTGACGTAACTGAACTTTCTCCTCTGTCCACAGCACGTGACATTTTCAGCAACAGCTCTGATGAAATGTTAGTACTTCGGGAATTTCGCACAAGAGAATCATAATTTGGGTTGCCTGCTGTATAAGACCACTGCTTCTTCAGTTCTGTATGCTTATTTACGTCTGTTTCTCGTCATTTTTTCCGATCCATTTGCTGATATTTTAAGAATAACATTATTATTAATTAGAAGAATAACTAAATGGTATAAAACTATTAAATTGGAAAAGTTAAATGGTAAAGAACTATTTTAAAATAGAAACAGTATTAAGTACTTTCGCAAAATTAGGCCATATGTGCCAACCAGCAAGGCCAAGGACTGAGTACTACATTTTAGTAGACAATGAAATTAGTAGCATTTTCTTTCACCGACACGTCTTACGTAAATTTTGGTGTTGGTGGGTGGACTGAGAGGAATTTTGCCATCTTGAGAGCACTGTTGTTGTTTCAAGAAAGTGTGCTTTTTTAATATATTGAAAATAACAAAGTGATATATGCATTATTTGGTACGAACATTTAAATAATTATGTGTTTTATAATATAACTATTAAGGCCAAGTATGACATTTTTCGGATCACCACATGTGTTGCTCCAGATTTCTGCTACATTTTAACGTCTTACTAAATAATATATTATAATGGACATCGTTTGAGTAAATCTGTATTTAATTTGTAATTTCATTGCTGATTTTGCAATTTGTGTTCTTACCGCAGGTCTATGTTTACAATAGTTTATTGTTTTTTTTTATATTTTTGTCAATGTTTTAAAAAAAGTTGATTTCTTTGCTTGTATTACATTCGTGTATCTGAAGCCTGATCTTATATGGAACACATACTCTTAACAAGGCCAGAGTAAGCTCTGTTTTTTTAATTTACAAATTAATTGTATGCACACATTTAAATATTTTAGATATTAACGTGATATTTCTTGTCTGACAGAAGTATCTTACACGTGCCAGGACATATTAAAAATCACAAAATAAGAATTAAGAAGTAGGTACGCAAACATTGTCGTGATTTTTGTAGCATTGATTGCCTGTCTGACCTTGATAGTGCTAAGTATGCAGATTTAGTGGCTGAATGTAGTATTTTTCATGCAGTGGACAGAACTCTGTTTAACGAGACCTACCAAGTTCGGAGCAAGCAAATGTTCCAAAGGCTTTCTTTACGCCATTTTTATCTGTTTTGTCACTACATCCCATACATTTTCCAGCAGATGAACAGTTTTCGGCGTCTGTCGGTCTGACTTCAGTTCAAGAATTAAAGTTTCTAGACTATGCGTTTATGAATCCAGATCTCGTCCAACAGGTGACTTGCTTACACCCGTAACAAGAACCTCATTCTCCCATATGTTTGTGAGGTATCAGGTTCTCACGGCGACTAATATAAAAACGATCGTATTTTGGTTGTTTTGCCTTTTAGTCTGGTTAAGACGGGTTGACGTTCCGGAGGAAGTTGCTTACGTCATTTTCATCTAAGCGATGAGATAGGAAGTTCCTCTGAGACCTATGTCAGTATCTACCGGACTTCACGGAGCAACCTTAATAATCACGAGTTACTGAAGAACGGGCTGATATAGCAGTAACATTCTGGGCATATATTCGGGAGGTACACGATTCCAGCCTCAGAAACGTTAGTTGTTAGTGGTTTCACTGTCTGTAGACGAGAGACCTCATGAGGAGGAAGCAAGGACCTCTGGAACAACAATTTCTTAAAACAGTCCAGGATTTGTTCTTCCATGTTCGTATTTATTCACCACTTGTGATTCTTTTATATGTTTCGATGCCATATAATATTTTAAAACGAAGTAAAAGTGTTAATTGATTTGTTTGAAACTGAGGATTGGAAATTGCCAGTCAGTAGAATGTCGTCTGCGGTTACGCATGTGGGAATAAAGCAGATAGTGAAAAAGAGAGCTTGTCTTACTTCAAATGCGACCAGAGGAGAAACTACAAAGTACGTTAGGTGTAGCCATGAAATTTATAGTAGTTTCACGGAATGGGTACCTAGTAATCCATTTGTTATTTTTATCAGATGATCTACCAGTTGACTTGCATCACTAAGTTATAAAAAACAGATGCTCAAGTGACGTGAAAGTTAACGTATGGTGTTGGAAAGATTATATTATTAAGCAAGAAAACTATATGTGAGGCTTAGAACGACTAAAAGATGTTACGACTGACATATTAGGACTCTGTACACCTTAATATATCTCTACTTTCTAAATATGACGTCCGAATTGTAATGTGGGATGTTCCGGCTAATAAACGTGATAAAATATTCTGTGGCAGTCAGAAGGGTAAATTATTGAAGGAATTTTAAAAT